TCCCCTCCACCTCCACCGCGGCCACCCTCTCCATCACCTCCGCCCTCCCCACCACCATCGCGCCGCAAACCGCGCGCGTCGAGCGCGACGCAGATGGCAAGATCATCAAGGTCATTCATTCGCACACCAAGAAAGCCAATCCCCTCAACGACCCTCTTAACGAGCTCGAGTCCGGCGACGAGGGTGATGATGATGCAATGGAGGGATTCGAGGGATTTGAAGACGAGCAGGAGGAGAAGAACGAGGTTGTGAGACAGCTCGAAGAGCAAGCCCTGCGCGTCGCGGAGAAGAAACCGAGGAAGCAGAGTACGAGGGAGCAAGAGTGGTGTCAGCGACTGAGCGAGAAGTGGGGGGAGGATTATAAGAGCATGGTTAAGGATAGGAGGTTAAACCCCATGCAGCAGAATGAGCCGGATATTAGGAGGAGGATTGGGAAGTGGTTGGAGTCTAAAAGTGGTTCGGCGTAGGTATATATCTAATGTGACTTTGAAGCAAAGCAAGAAGCGAGGTGTGTGTGTGTGTGGAGCAATATCAGGGGTGTGAAGCGTGTGTGATAGCCATTGTAGCTCTGGAACACTGTGGTTTTCACAGTTCCGTTTCCCTCTCTTTCCCTTTGCCCTTATCTCCTTCTCCCAATAGCGAGAATCTAGCTCAGCATATATATATCCCTTCACTTTCGCCTTTCTCCTCCCAATATCGGGAATCTCGCCCACGTAATCATATCCCTTCCTTCTCCCTTCTTCCCCCTAAAAAAACACCTCTCTCGGCGCGCATGCTTAACCCCTTTACACCGCTAATTTTTACATAAAACATATTCCCAAACCCTTCAACACCTCTCAACTCACCCCCCCTTCCTCCCTCCACACCCACCTCTTCTCCAAATACCTCAAGCGTATTCTTAATACACCCCTTCGAGCTCTTCGGGAACTGTTTATTCAGCACCTCAATCAAGCCCAGCTTACTCAACTCGCTCCCCTGCACCGCCAGTTTAAACGCCGCCATCTCGTCAGGGGCGACTAGTTTCTTCGTCCCTGCTCCTCCGGACTTGCCGCCAGACGAGGAGGTCGCGGAAGAGGATTTGCTGGTGCTAGGCGCGATGAGGCCGAACATCTTGACCGTCTTGGCGGAGGGGCCGTTGACGTGCGCGCTTGTCCCTTTCATGGGGTTTAGGGGGAGGCGGGGGGGTTGCATGGAGGGTGGTGGGGCGGGGGGTGCCCAGTAGTGTGTTGCGAAGGGGTCGATGGGGGTTTGGACTTTGATATTTTCTGCGGGGTGTGTTAGATCTACTTTACTCATTGGATCCCAGGGGATAAAAAAATGGATTCGAGGAAAAGGGGGCTTACCATGAATAACCTCCAACGCAAACCCTCGCATCTCGATATTCGGATACCGGCCTTGCTCATCCTCCCAGCAGAGCCCAGTGCTCTTCGGTTCTAAATCACCGAGCATGACGAGTTTCCTTGCATTGGCGATCTCGTCATCAGCGTCATCCAGGAAACCATCCAGATCCTCCTCTCCATCCGCATCATCGTCATCCTCTCCTTCCGACCCAAGATCCTCCTCATCCTCCCCCGGCTCCTCCCACTCCGCCTCAGAATCATAATCATAATCCACTCCCGGAAGGTCGCGCTTAATCGGATTCCTAGCCAGCCTTGCTGCGCCCGACACGGGCTGCTTGGTATACGTCCCGATGTACGGCGGCCGCACGTCCTCGGCGAATTTGAGGATCTTGTAGGGGATGGCCCGGAGGGAGGTTCGGGTGTTCTTGATTTGTGCGTTTTGGGAGTCGGTTGTGAGGTCGATGGGTCGTGAGGAGCCGCCGAGGAGGTGCGACATGATTTGCTTGACGGGCACGCAGCGCCTGCCGCGGCGGGTGAAGCAGTTGTGGGGTATGTTGAAGGCTTTGGTGGCATCGAGTTTCGGCGGGCGTTCTGAGGCTTTTGATCCGCTGAGACAGGCGTCTAGCTCGTTTTCTAATGTCTGTGTGGCAAACTCGTCCCGCTCAAACCGTAGTATAGGAGCTAGAGTGACACTGTTTTGTACAAAGAACGCCGGGAACGCCTTGTCGTAATCCGAAATCTCGCTGCGCTTATTTGGTGATTTATCGTCTGGTGCCGGACCTGCCGCGTTCCCGGGCTCTGGGCTCACGTCCTTCTCTGGCTTCTTGGCGGGTTGTAATGTGAAAAAAGAATTGAGCTTCTTCTGGCTCCTCTCCTTCTTTTTCTTCTCCTCTTCCAGCCTTTGCTTCTCCTCTTCCTTTTTCCTCTTCTCCTCCTCCTTGGCCTTCCTCTCCTTCTCCTTCTCCGCCCGCTCCGCGTCCTTCACCAGCTTCTCTGCCTCCTTAACAAGCCTTTTCTCTTCTTTCTCAGCCTCTCTCTTTTGTCGTTCAGCCTCCTTTTCCGCATCCCTCCTCGCCTTATCATGCTCCTTATCCCGCTTCTCTGCCTCCTTCCTCGCACGCTCGTCCGCCTTCTCGCGGTCCCTGATCTCCTTGAGAATCTTCTTGTGTTCTTGCTCCGCGAACGTAAGCTTCGGCTTCTTCTTCGGCGGTTGGCCCCCGCTGCTCATCATGGAAAAGGCGTTCGCCGGCTTGAGAAGGGGTGAATTCGGTCCAAGGCTCGGGGTTCGTGACGGGGCTTCCGAGATTACTGACTCGGTGTCGCTCCTCGCTGGACTCGACTCTCGGATAAGGTGATGTGCTACAGAAGGTGGGAGGTGTTGTTCGGGTGACATCTTGAGAGGCGCTGATGTTACATTGGTAGGACTATCTTCATGTTGCCGTTTCAATGATCGCGGGGACATTGAGGTGCCGCCCATCGAGGTGTCCATTGTGCCAGCCCTAGCCAAACTCGGGAAGAAACAAACAGTTACTCAAGCAAAGCCCAGCATATATGGTTTGATTCGGGATATCATAAAGTGTAGTGATAGGCGTTGTGATGTTAACAATTGTTTCGGCCACCGTTGTCTCTGAATGTCGTCTTTTGGGGGCGGACACGCGTGAAGGGACGCGATTCTTCCAAGGGAAGTCGCGTAAATTGAATGGGCCACTTCCGTCCCGAATCCGCGCTTATCCTAATATGGCATTAGGCTCCCACCCCTAAGGGTCCGCAAGGCTACAGCGGGGATCAAATACCGTAAGCGGTAATTTAATCTTCAGCCTTGACGTTGACCATTCCTTCGGAATACTCTCCTATAAAGATCAACGACCGTTGAGCCTCACGACCTCACACGACATATCCCTTCTCTCGTGAAAGGCTCAACCACGGTTTATACATCTACAAGGCAACATCTCATGCTGCCCCCTACGACATTATGATTTCCATAATGCCGACACGACGGCTGACACGCTTCATCGCCCTCGCAGCCCTCGTGCTCGTCACCATCGCCGTTTTCTACAGCCCGCTTACCCCCCGCCGCCATCAAATCCCCGCGAGCCATTCAACCTGGCAATCTGAACTCGGTCCCGTCGACAACAAAGCGACCTCCTACGTCGCCGAAGCCACGCCCGCCGAGTTATGCGCGCCTTACCACTGGGAGCCACACACCCCCAAAGGCGGCAAGCGCAAGATCTACGACCTCTTCCTTATCAACGATGAGCTAAACTGGCTCGAGATCCGCCTCAACACTCTCAGCAAGCAAGTCGACTACTTCGTCGTCGTCGAGTCCCCCAAGACCTTCACCGGCCTCGACAAGCCCCTCCACCTCCAAGAAAACTGGGATCGCTTCGCTCCCTTCCACTCTCAAATCATCCACCACGTCCTCGAATCGGACCTCAACTCCACCGTGGCCTGGGACCACGAAGACCTGCAGCGCAACGCCATGTTCGACCAAGTCATCCCCTTCCTC